TAGGAAAAGGAAATGAATTTCCCAAGCTGGAACTACATCAAAATGTCAAGTTAACACATGTTTGGCTTGTAAAGGTGCCGAGGGAGCTAATGTCTGAATGATCAAGGCCACAGATTTCCAAATCATTTTAAAGATAATGCCCTTACTAGGATGCTATAGCTTTCAAGCTTTTTATTTCTCTTAGCTCTTTCCTATCTGGGTGTTCAACTAGGCTAATCAAGATCTGACAAGTTCACATTGCAATTAATTGAAACAGCTGCAAAGAAACAGCTGCAAAGAAAAATGTTAATATAGAAGTACACAAATTCAGAAAAAAAAAAGTTAAAACTAAAGTTAGTGATTTTCTCATGAGAGTCAGTGTTGCATTTGGTTTTCCGTGCTTTCGTCCGGCTTGTGTTGAATAACTGATACATCTGAGTTAGCATTCTAACCAAGGAAGAACATCATTGTCATTGTTTTTCTTACAAACTTTGCTTGTGAGTCCCTAATATTTGCTCTCTCTGCACAGTATTCTCTTCCATGACTCCAGCAGCCAACTCCTGACCACAAAGATGAGCTTATAACCTGGCTTGGTGTACAGTACCCACTTACACAACCATTGTTCGACAGGGTGGTTATATCATGTAAGCATTTGGGAGTCCATTCTAGGATTCGATTTAGAGTTGAATGAGTAGACAAGTGTCTGAAGTCAAAATACAAAAAAGATGTAAAGGTAAGAGAGTGGAAGGTCATCTTTTTTTTTTTTTTTTTTTTTTTCCTTGAGAGATTTTTGGTATAGGCTGCATGTGTTTGCCTGAGAGACAGAGAGACAGAAAGCAAAAAATCACCCCCTGGGGGGATGGCCACACTGCAATCCCTTCTCTACCACTTGCCTTTGGGATCTCGGGCATGCACGCACATGTGCTCTGCGTGAGGTTTAAGTCACTGGGTCCGGGACTAGAACAACAGTCAACTACATGGGAGTTCAGTAACATAACCAATATGCCATCTGCTGGTCCCGGAAGGTCTTTATTTCTATTTGGAGAAGGTTCATTGGCAACTAAAGAGAGAAGAGCAAATGGAAGTGACTAGAACTTAGGGGCAGACAGGATTTCGGAGGCATTGAATCTTGGTTCTAATTCCTAAAGCTTTGCTCTCTGACATTTTCTTTGATTCTGTGAGCTCTTTTTTTCTTCTCCTTCTCCTTTCTTTCTTGCTACAGAAACTAATAAATCCCCCTTCTGGCATAAGCAACTTTGAATTTTCTGACATTTGCAACTAAATTCTAACATAGAATATAAGATCAATTCATCTTTTTTAAAAATTTTTATTTATTCACTCATTTATTTTAATTTGACCAGAGAGAGACACAGACACCGAGAGAGACAGAGAGAAAAGGAAAGTGAGAACGCAAGCACCAAGTCCAGATCTTGAACTGTGGTCAGCCATGTGGGAGTGTCCAAGCGCCTTAACCACCATGCCACCTGCTGGCCCCAAGATCAGTTAATCTTACTGATCACTTTATAGATGAGAAAAATAGATTAATTTGCCCAATGGTATACATTTCAATTACCTTTCTTTGCTCTTCAATCTATTGGCATGCTCTTCCTCAAGCAAAAGTTGAAACTTTGTTAGTGGGGCTATGTGTTTAGGAACTCCAGCCACATTCATCCCAAGTAGACTTGTGAGTGACTGGGTAAACTGGCATCCTTTCTGAGAGGTGAGATTACACCCTTCCAGAACAGGTACAGTTCTGTAGCAGAGTGCTGTAGCATTAATGTTCCACGAGAGAAATAGTCTACAGAAACAAGGGCCCAAAGACACAACTTCCACACACCTCCCAAAGGTGAGTTTGTGACACACTGAATAACCTAAGACATTTAATGGGATCACTAACACAAAGACATTAAAACATTGTAAATAACTGTCCTACAAGTTGTCGATGCCAAAACACTAAATTCACAAGAGTAACCAGCAATAGTGCATGAAGTTCACATTAATACCAGCCATACAAGAACAGGCTACAAAGTGAAAACCTGTAAAAACCCTGCATGTTGGAGTAAATTGTAATATACTTCCATACAATGGAGTACCGCGGTAGGCTGGACTAGCGGTCTGAACTCTTCCTGCCACAGCTTAGTATGCCGTTACCCTTTGTCCTGTAACTGCAGAGCTTTCCACTGTGGGCGCAGTCAGTTTCCCAGCCAGCTAACGCTGGGCTTGCTCAGAACTGCTCTAAAGTAAAAATGCCTGCGTGGTTTGGCTTATTGTCATGCACTCTGCCGCCTGTTACAGGTAGGGCTCTGTATAACATCAAATGAAATTCTCCCTGTTTTTTTGAACAGGCAACACTTGTACGTGCTATCATGCAGAGCTTTCCACTGTGGGCGCAGTCAGTTTCCCAGCCAGCTAACGCTGGGCTTGCTCAGAACTGCTCTAACGTAAAAATGCCTGCGTGGTTTGGCTTATTGTCATGCACTCTGCCGCCTGTTACAGGTAGGACTCTGTATAACATCAAATGAAATTCTTCCTGTTTTTTGAACAGGCAACACTTGTATGTGCTATCAAATTCAAAAGGTACTTGAGAGTATACAATGAACACTTGGATCAACCACTCAGTTTCTCTGCCCAAAAAAAGCAGTTACCACTTTTCTGTGAAACCTTCCAGAGAAATGTTATCCATACACAAGGAAAGTCATATAACAGCATTTCTCAGCGTCAGAACTTAGGGTAGCTGGATAGGGGCTTCGAAATTAGGTTAGAAAAGTCCTTTCTGAGAAGACTCAAATTCTCTTCTTTGAGGATGTATTATTTATATTATCAGAGACCAGCTCCCACAGGCAGATCTATAAAGTACTTACTATACACTGTCATATACCACTACTTCATTTAAAACTCTCAAAAATGTATTATTTCCAAGACACACTCGCAATTAACTTAGGATGTAAGTCAAAAATTAGGGGATTGCTTCTTGGCCTAAAGCAAGCAGCAAATATAGTCATAATTCCAATTTGTGTCATCTTAAAATCATTTTTCTTCTGTTAGAAATCAGTTCTTTCAATTGAAAAAAATTTGAAAGACATGATAAAAGTAATTTTCATCTGCTTCTAGTGATATATAAGTTGACTATTTTCTCATTTTAACTAGTTTGAGAATAAACTGAATTTTAAAAACTGAACCAAAATAACATATTTTTTATTTTAATTAATTTGTACCATGACGATGCTTTTCAACTGCAAAAAAAACTGAATCTTTAATTTTTTTCTGAAACAAGTGAAATGAGCAAAACCATGACCAAATAAACAATTATTTATAAAATTTTATTTTGCTTTAAAAAACAATTTATTAATTTAAGAAAATCAACCAAAACAACAAACCCTACCAAAGTTTATTACAATAATCTTTCATGAATCAACAGCATTTTAAAAAGTTAATGAATACTTTAATGTAAAACCACAATATAGAAAAAAGAACTTTAGTGCTCCTGATGAAATAAAAGCAGGCAAATAATCTTCTTTAAAGGGGAAAAATACCTGGGGAAAAAAACCTAACAGTGTAATAGGCACAAAGCAGGAAATTTAAATATCAGTTTAGTTCCTCATTGCCAACATGGCATTTATATCCCAGATGAGATTTCGTAATTGATCCATAATTTGCTTCAGCTGTTGATTCTTCTGTTTGAGTTTCTGTAGAAACAAAAGAACTTATCAAAAATGTTTCATGAAATATAGATCATGAAGTTACAAGATTAAAATGTCCTAAGTTAGGACTCTAAATATCCAGACAGAAATTAAGCTAAATATTACTGTAAGGCAGAAGGTCTCAGTCTTTTTTTTGCCCTCAAATACTGATAGGCATCCTGAATGGAAATTCAGCCCATAGAGACCTATAGCTCAGCCCCCATCCCTATTTACCACTGTATTTCCGCCATCAAAGACAACAACCGACACATTCATTGTTATAAAACCTCACCACATGGGCTTTTTAAGGGACAATGGGAGGTACCAGTCAGGAGTAGATACTTAGGACCCAGCAGCAGTGGCATGTGCTGTTCAGATGCTGTGCTCTGCAGGCTGAACCACATGGGTGGTCTGGGTTTGATCTCTGGTCCAACCTAAAGTCCATGTGCAGTGGTATGCACCCATAACCTCAGTGACTCCGGGAGAGAAAGGACAGAGAGCTCAACAGTGGTTTAGGCAACATAGGCGATTCTGTCTTAAAAAAAGAAAATGATAGGGACCAGTAGAAGGCATAATGGTTACGTCACTGGACTCCCATGTAACTGATTGCAGTTTGAGGCCTGGACCTGGCAACTTAAAATTTACACCAGGTGTATGTATGTGTGTGTTGTGTGCCCAAGATCCCGAGAGGAGAATGAAGGAGAGGAGATTGTGGCATGGCCATGCCCCCATGGGGTGATTTCTTGCTTTCTGTCTCTGTCTCACTGTCTTTCTGTTGAGCGAACATGCCTTATAGCAAAAATCACTCAAAAAAAAAAAAAGACAGAAAGAAAATAAGCATATACTCCAGAGCCAGATTCTCTGGGTACTTATTTATTTGCTCAGATCTTTCACTAATTAAATGTACGAGACAGTAGCCACAATATTTAACTTTTCTGTCCCTCAGTTCCTATCTTTTAGGAAAGTAGAGATAATAACATTTATTATGAGTATTAAATTATTTGATTCATGTAAAGTGTTAGAATTGCCTGGCATATAAGCAAGCATTCAATAAATGCTACAGGTAGGCAGAGAATGTAAAATAAAGTATAATAAAAATGCAATGCCTGATGTAGTTGGTCTTTGAAAATGTGGCAGAAGTCAGTTTTCCCCAAAGTATGAAGTGCAATCAACTTCTAATTCTGAAAACTGAAGACAAGTGGCCCAGTGCCCGTATTATAATCATTATTATTCAATAAGCTTTTGGGACCATTGCATTTCATGGTAATAGATTTAATTAGATAATTTAAAAGATAATTTAAAAGATATATTAAACTTCCTCCATAGAAGTTAGTATATGTTCATTGGAAAAAGAATGAAGAGGTAGAGAAGAGATTGTGGTGTGACCACATCCCACTGGGGGACTCTTTTTCTCTCCCCTTGTATGGCAAGAGCAAATGCCCTCTGGCAAAAAAAAAAAAAAAAAAAAAAAAAAGAAAAAAA